AAAATAAAAGTGTTGGCACAATAAGGCACCCAGACTAACATCCTGCTTGCTAAACTGCCGGACACGACAAGGGGAAAAAAAAAAAAAAAGGTGCGAACAATTCTGCTACTTAAGAACACGTCATGAATCCGACGTAGGTTGTTCTTAATAAATTTCGTAGGAACAAATTTAAGAGAATTCTTAAGAAAATATTGGTGAATGAGGCCCAATGTATGTACTCTCTGCGGTGCTTATGGTACTCGGGGCTGACACACACGTTGCATTGATACTTGCATTTGTGTTGTGTTTTATAGCTTTATGAGGTGTAACAATAATCACAGATGTATGATCCCCCAAAAAACGCTGTCAAACTTTTTATGCTGAAATAATGTTGATCTTGAAGGTACAGAAAGATTGTTTTATCACAAGGTTCGGGTTGTCTGAAATTTCTTAATAATGACTTGTCACAGCGATACCACACCACTATATTGACAACCAGGAAAATTGTTCAAAACTTGCCACATCTGTTAATGACACCATGTCGGTCTTGGTTAGACCGACTGATTCCTACAAATGCTTAACTTTTAGCTCTGCAGCATCGTGTGCCATGTCGGGGTTTAAGAGGCAGACTACACAATAAGGAAAGCATAGAATATTGTCAGAGTTTTCAGAAACAATAAGACATCTGAGCTTCTTTTGCAAAATGTCAGACTTGAAAAGATTTGTTAATTTCTTTCGTTTGGCTGCACTACCATTCTGATTATGAATAATCTGTACAACCAGCTCCAGCGTTTCACCGCTGAAAACCTCTGCATTACTCTGCGAAAGGTTCTCGACCATCGATAGCTGATCATTTAGATCGATCTCACTTCAGACATGTATAGCTGTGCTGTGTGCCCGCCTCCCTCCATGTATGTACATGCGCTACGGGAGAGAGAGAGAGAGAGAGAGAGAGGGCACATGTGCTACAGACTGAATGCCGTGTGCTCATTTTAACAAGGATTTCCCGCATTATTCCTTGATTCTTGTTGTTGAAATGCTTAGGGTGTTTTATTTTAAATAACACATAGGCCAAAAAGAGTTTCAAAGAACCCTATGATAAGGTATTCTAGCAAAGTCTCATTTCCCTCGCCCGGACTAGGGTCACTGGGTCCCCACCCTGGAGCCCGGCCTGGGGGAGGGGCCTTGACCCGTGGGGCCTGGCCAGGCATATGGGCCCACCACCGGCAAGGGGAATGTCAGGGGTTCGGTGTATTGTGGATCGGGTGGCAGCCAGGGGAGGCCCCGGCTGACAAAACTGGCTTTCGGGACATGGAATGTCACCTCTCTGGTGGGGAAGGTGAGGGAATCTCCTGGAGAGGGGGTGGAAGCTCTTATCTTCTGGAGTTGCGGCAGGTGAGCTACATCGGGCTGGGGTGGGGCTACTGGTGGCCCCACAACTCGGTGCATTAACAACAGAGTTTACCCCGGTGAACGAGAGGGCTGTCTCCCTGCACCTCGGGTCAGGGATAGGTCTCTGACTGTCATCTGCGCTTATGCGGCGAATGATGGTTCAGAGTACCCGGCCTTCTTGGATTCCCTTAGTGGTATGCCGGTTAGCGTGCCACGAGGGGATTCCATCGTTTTGCTGGGGGACTTCAACGCCCACGTGGGCAATGACAGGGTGACCTGGAGGGGGGTGATTGGGAGGAAACGGCTTCCCTGATCTGAACCCGAGTGGTGTTCTGTTATTGGACTTCTGTGCAATGCATGGTTTGTCCATAACGAACACCATGT